ATACCATGAACACATACCATGAACACATACCATGAACACATACCATGAACACATACCATGAACATATACATGAGCACATACATGAACATATACATGTGAATACATACTATAATATATTTTGTGAGTGGTTGAATAGATCGATATATACAACAGTAATATATATATATATATATATATATTAAACCTTCTCTCGGGTTTGCCAGAGGCAGGCACAAGCAAGCAACCACCAGCAGCCCCCTGAAGCCATTCGTCCTGGAACAAGCGGTTAAAGGCGGACACGCGGTGTGCTAAGTGACAGCCACTAACCGATTTACGATCGTATTCGCGTGTGCGCGCGCGTATACTTACTCAAACCACCCACACATACACACATACATACATATACATCTCTTCAGATCCCGATACCCATCCTCTTCTGTATTCTACACTCTCTCTTTCTCTCTCTACTACACTTTCCTGGTTAGAGGAAGTGTGGAAACTAGAAGAGGGGTGGAAATAGGGTGGTAAAGGGGGAAGGAAGGGTAGGTAGGTTGAGGGGGCGTTACGGTAATGTTCGATCGAAGTTCGATGCTCTCTCTCTCCAAACGAGATGATGTTAATTTGCACGAATTTCCGCGAAAGATATTTCTCTATAATTGTTATAACAAATTTTATATATATATATATATATATATATATATTTTTTTTTTCTTTCTTTTTTCTTTTTTTTGTTTGTTTTATAATTAAAATATGATATCAATTGAGATACTGTTTTATAGATTTTTTTCATCTGCGTTGAAATTGTATTTTCTTTTTTATTTTTATTTTTTTTTATTTTGAAAGAATAAAAAAATATTTGATCTTTAAAATGTTTAATATAAAATCCATTTGTTTTTGTTCGGGTTAAATATATCAAACTAACTTCTACTTATATTTATTAGTATTAAAAAGAAACGATAAATAAGAGATAACATAAAAAATTATTAATAAATTATTTTTCCGTTGACAAATGTTTAAATTATCATTAAATTGTATTTAAACAAAAAAAAAGAAAAGAAAATAACAAGATTTTTCATACACTTTGAATGCTAATATTCTTTAACATTCGACAAGGATCGTATTACAAGATAACAAAGAGAAAATAGGAGTTAGGGGTTGGAGTTTGATGTTGGGGGTATAAGTATGGGTGTGGGTGTGTAAGAGAAATGGGGATAGGTTTGTAGGTGGTTGGTAAATGATACTTTAGCGTGGTTCGTTGCATTCGAGATCCATCTTATTATAGTAGTAGTTGTAACTAACTACGATAAAATTCTTTAACTTAACTTAGTATACTTTTTACCCTTTTTTTTTTATTCTTATTAGTTTTTTTTTTTTTTTTTAGTTCGTTAATCATCAGATTACATTTTTAAAGCGATAATATTTTATGATAAATTAATTTTAAATAATTTTTATCATCATTTAAACGATAAAGATTATCCAAAGCAATTGTAAATGAATTGAATTTGATTTTTATTTTTTTTTTATATTTTTGCAAACAAACGTTCTGTTAAATCGCATTAAGAAGATAATTCTGATCTAAAAATTTGCAAAAATCGATTTTTTTTTTGTATTCTTAAAATGTTAATAAACATCATATAAAAAAAATGGATACTAAAAATGTTTTTCACTTTTTTTTTGTATCTTAGTTTGAAAAATGGCTAAAATTTAGGTTTCTAGACCAGAATATCCCATTAACCCCTATTATACTCCTCCAATTTTATATTAACCATAAGTTCTCAAAATTTTTATTAAATTAATAAAAATTATCTGTGAAATAATATTTAATTAATTAAATACATATTTATTTTTTTATTTAATAATAAATAATATACATTTTTCATACGTTTTCAATGTGATTGAAAAATCATTTATAATGTAATATAATAAATTTGTTGTTATAATGTTGAAAAATAAAATTGTTCAATTAGGATTGAAAAAAAATATGATTGAATCGATGTTTTAAATGTTATTTAGTATATATTTAAAATTTAAATTGTTTTTTTTTTAATTTTTCTGTTTCAGTATTACGAGATGTCGTATGGCCTCAACGTGGAGATGCACAAACAGGTGAGATTTCATCAAAAAATAAAAATAAATTAATTAATTTAGATCGTTTTAGTAATTATAATTGGAAAAAAAATTGTTTTCAACAATTATTGAAACTATCGTTTCTCGGTTAAATTTACTTTTGTTTAAAAAAAAAAAAAAAAAAAAACACGTAAGTAATTCTCGTATGTTTAAAATTGAAAAGTTATCTACACACTCACGTAATTTAATTTCTTCAAATTAATTTAAAAATAAAAAATAAATAAATAAATTATAGTTCATTTGAATCAAGTAATATTCGAGTTTAGCTTTAACAGAAAGAAAGGGGTTAATTTTAGGGGATAAATTAAGGTTAATGTTATAAAAGTTTAGGTTAAATAAACTTACATAACCTTCAAATTAATTTAATAAAAGAAAAAACATAATTATGGTTCAATTTAATCAAATAATTTTCTAGTTAGCTTTAACAGAAAATGGGATTAATTTTATAGGGAAAGTTTAGGTTAATGTTTAGGTTAAGGTTATGTAAATTTAGGTTATGTAAGTTTAGGTTAAATAAACTTAAATAACCTTCAAATTAATTTAAAAAAAAAAAAAACAAATTATAGTTCAATTTAATCAAAAATTATTCGAGTTAGCTTTAACCAAAAAACGGGGTTAATTTTACAGGATAAAGTTTAGGTTAACAAAGATCTTCAAATATTAATTTAAAAAAAAAGAAAAAGAAAAAAAATCAAATTATAGATAAATTTAATCAAATAATATTCGTGTTTAGTTTCAACCAAAAAAAAAAGGGGGGGGGTTAATTTTGTGAAATTTAGTTTAATGAAGATCTTCAATGAAACGAACGATACACTCATGAGACAATTGCAGGGGTAGAAAGAAGATCGTGCAAAACCGATTACTTTGAATTGAAATTGGGAGGGTGGTTAAAAAAGAGATAAGAAATAGAAAAGAAGGGAAAGTTTAAGGGTAAACGTTTAAGCTTGGCAAATCGTGTAATTTCGGCTAATTAAGGGGAAAAACAGTTAAAGGATCAACCCCCCAGCCCTGTTTCTTACTCTGTCAGCAATTTTCTTAAAAGCAAGTTTTAGTAATCCGTTTCGTTCTAACACACAGCACAGGTTTTAAACTACTATGCCAATGTTTACTGCCAAAAAGAATAGTATGGCAACTATATAAACAGAACATAACCTAAACAAAACTCCAAAAGTAACCCAAACCAACCCCTCTTGCACCCTTTAGATAAAAAGGGACGAGTTGATATTCATTAGCATTAGCGGCCGATCATTTCTCACCCTTGTATCTAAGGGCAAGAAGGGACTTCTTAATGGGGTGCAAGCCCAACAACGAATCGAGTATTGGTTGTTAAAGAGATTCACGAAAAGGGTATGAAGTGGGGGGTGAATAAAAAGGTGGTTAAAGGGATGAGAAAACAAGTACGACCAATTGTGTTTTCTTTTTCTTTTTTTGAAGTGAAAACTTCTTTAGAATGGGAGTGATCTGAAAAGTAAATAAACGGAAACGGAGCTATGTAACGAAGCTATGAAACGGCTGCCATACTAAATAATGAGAGAAAAAGAGACAAACATAAGATTTAGACTGCGAGGGAATGAAACGGAATATAGCTATACAGTTTTTCCTATTCTCGGTCTCCTCTTTATGCTATGCTTCGTAGTTATCGCTCCTGGTTGTATATGTGTGTGTTTGTGTGCGACTGCATACTACAAAGCGTAAATACACATATTCTTACGATACTCGCAATGTTTGTAGGTAGGAGCGATAGAAAGGTAAAAGAATAAACAGAGATAAGTACGTAGGTATGCGACAAAAGTATAAGGCCCAAACGAACCGACGGTCGACATAAACAAAGAAGGTGCGTGGTATGTTTTTTTTTTTACCAAACGTGTCATTTCTTTTCTATTTAAAAATGTTTCTATTTTATTGAAAAATTAATATTAAATTATTTATTTCGTAAATATTATTCCTATTAATGACTATGAAATATATAGATTAAAATATTTGTATTGTCTGCAAAATTTTACAACAACAAAAAAACTGATCATAAGATACATGAGAGGAAAAGAATTAGACAACATTGTAGAATACTTTTTTTATAAATATAAAAAGACATGTCCTTTAATTATAATGTTTGCGTATTTAGGAAATTTATACTAATTTTTCAATAAAATAGAAAAGACCCTACGGACTTATCGGAAAGACCCTACGGACTTATCGGAAAGATATATAAATAATAATAGGAATTCGTATAAAAATTCAAAATAATAATTTAATTTTTATCAATAATAATAATAATAATTGGAATTCGTATAAAAATTTAAAATAATAATTAAATTTTAATACTAATGACTATAATATTAATTGAAATTTATATAAAAATTTAAAAGAATAATTTTTTCTCATTTATCATTTATTTTACATGAAATACACATACCTACATATAAACACAAAATACAGTTAAATCCGTATATCGCAGTAAATCTCGTAATCGATTCGTTTACGTTAAAAAAGAAAAAAAAAACTAAAATAAAAAATTAAAAACTTCGATAACTGGTAAAAAAGTTAGAAAACTACTTCACAGAAGTTGTCGCAGTACCAACTGTACCAACTGTTTAATTGATAGATTGAGTGGTAATAAAATTATTAAGTTGAAAATAGAAATAAATCAATAATAATAATAATAATAATAATAATAGTAATAGTAATAATAATAAAAGGGGGTTGGAAAAAAAAAGAAAATAAGCGTTGGGTAGGGAAAAGTAAATCAATTCCCTGGAGGGTTAAAATACTTCCCTTTCCCCTTTTTTCTAACAGAATCCCCTCACCCTCTGCAACCCACCACCACAACCACTTCTACCACCACCACATAACCACCCTCGTTGACACGACAAATTGTGAACGAAACTAATGTACAATCCGGTATAATATATCCATCTATTTTTCTTACTTTTATTTCTCGTTTTTTTTTATTCTTTGAAAAAAAGCAAACGAAGGGTCATAGTCGTCAAAGGGTGGTTTGGGGAGGGTTTAATTGGAAGAAATTGGTTTATTTCACAAGACTAATCTAATTAACTGTAATAATATGAACTCTTGGACAATTTTGCAATATTTCTCTTTCTCTCTTTCTTTTGTTAACTAAAAAAAGATTAAACTGTTTTATTTGCAACATTTGAAACATAGCACCATTGCAACTTGCATATAAACCATGTGTGTACCAACGGGGGATACGAACGATCAGTGAAAAAAAAATACGAAGAACCATAAATTATCTCTTTTATCAAACCACCCCCAACCCTCACCCCCACCCTTTTTTCTCTTTATTCTCATCGTACAATTTTTTTTTATCTTTTTTTTCTTTCTATTTTTCTGTCCAACTTTTTCTTTTTTTTTTTTTTTTTTTTTACCAAGTGAGTGGAAGAGAGAGGAAATTACGATAAAAGACGAGCAGCAACCAACCACCATGGTGTGTACCGGAAATAATCTATAATATCGTATACTCCCTCCCCCATATCTTTCTTTCTCTCTCTTTTTTCCTTTTTCACACCCTTTTCATCCCTTTTCCAAATTTACGTACCTCGTACATCGATCATCCGAGTAACGATCTTTTATTTTTTTTTTTTTTTATTTTTCTTTTATTCTGATGGTCATTTTTCTTCAAAATCATTTATCACGTATCATTTATCATTTATCATGTTACTTTCTTACTGGTAGTGGTGGTAATGGTGGTGGTTGTGATGGTAGGGGTAGTGGTAGTTCATCGTTTTCCTATTTCATTTCACTGTCTTTTTCCTTACTTCTCTTGAGAAAAGGAAAACACGAGAGAATGGAAACAAGATATGTCTTCTTATTTCATTCTATATAAAAGTAACACTATATATATATAGTGTATGTATAAATATGTAATATGTGACTACATATATAAAGATAAACTTATGTAGAAATGTTAGATCACATTATATGTGTATAAAAATAACACAGTGTGTGTTTGTAGATATTAGATTTATGTAAAAATATTAGAAATTAAAAAAGAAATATATTATATATATATATATAATATATGTAATATATAGGTTAAAATTATATATATAATTTTTTATATATAATATAAAATATAATATTATTTTAATAAATTTTATAAAATTTATTTAATGCAATAATCAAAAAATAATACTATTATTTATATAGTAATATAAATAATAATAAATAAATAAAATTAATTCAACAAAATTAAAATAATAAATTTATATATATATATAATAATTTATAATTACAAAAAAAAAATATATATATATATATAAAGTTAAAACCCTAAATATATATATAGGGGGCATGATACATATATATATATATATATATATATATATATATATATATATATAAGTCACCCCTATACATTTAGTGACTATACATATGTATGTATGTGCAGTGTGTGTAAATAGATCTACGTAGAAATATTGGAGACCAAAAAGTACATATATATCATCAACATCATCATCATCATCATCATCATCATCATCATTCCCACCACCAACACCACTACCCTCACCCCTTCCTCGTTTCTCCTATTCCCTAAGAAGTTAGTTCCTCTGACACTTAGAAGCTCTAGCAGAAGCTCTTTCGAATCCGCGTGGGGTACTTCCTTCGGATTCTCGGTTCTTTTTCAATTGGAGGACCTTTCTCAACCCTCCACCCTCTTACCTCCTACCCCACCCTGACTCTACTCTTACCCCTTCTTTTTTTCTCTTCTTTTTTTTCTCTTCTTTTTAACCGAATGAAAACAATCTTACCCCTCCTTACGAGGTTAGAGCAGCTCCCACTTTTCTATCTTACCAACCAAGCTAAACCAAACCTCCCTACCCTCTTTTAAGTCTCAAGCTTTTACACTTTTTCTTTTCTTTTTTTTTTTTTTTAGTTGCCACTGTCGATAATATTCTCTCTTTTTTCTTTCTTATTCTCTTCTATTTTACAGTCTTTCACCTACCCCTTCCTCTTCATTCTCA